TGTGACAACATTTACATACAAATACCTTAACTTCACGACTCAATAACTCATCCATTAATCATCAGAAGTACTTGATATGGCGCCAATTATGGATCAGTATCACAAGCTCTACAAGATGCACTTTTGTAATCCAAATCTGGACGTCATCTGAAAAACTCTGTAACTTCAAAAATAGGTTTTCAGCCAGTTTACAAGGAAAGAATCACCTGTATTCATCATAAGAAGCGCTTTGTAACGTCTGATTACATTGTTGATCACTTTGGCTGTGTAAATTACATCATCTAATAGTAACAAAGTCATTACATTGCGTCATTATGGTTTTTAGGGGTTTTTGGTCAAACTTGGTTGGTTTTTGAGGCTGTTGACCATTGTAAGAGTTGTAACACATTTATATATACAGTCAAACCTGTCTTAAGACATACCCCTTGGTCCAACCAATTTGGCATGCCTTATAGCAGGTTATGTCATATGGCAGAGTACTGCCATATGGCATAATTGCATGCCTTTCAAATTATCCCTATAATCACATATTTTCATGTCATAAGACAGGTTTTTCTGATAGCACAGCTTTTGAGTATGCCTAATTGCTCCATTTAATGATACTTGAATGGGAATAGGATCAAGGGCACAAAAGATGGATCAAATAAAGTACACATAACATATGTATTTACACACTATGTACACTTTGTGGGGTATTTTATGCCTTAATACCATACTAATGTCCAAAAAAAAGCATGCCATAAGGCATTAGACAGAGAAGGCATAATTTGGCCCTGTCCATGCTTGTTCAGGCCAAAATGTATGCAATTTGGCAGGTTAAGCCAATATACAGGTATGCCATACAACAGGTTTGACTGTATACTCAAGGATGATTTTGGGAATGTTGTTCCCCTTTTTTCTTTATCATTTACACAGTTATCATTTTGTTTATCATTATAAACTTATTATAGCAGTACCTGGTCACTTAAATACACCCTTCATTACAGTTATAAAGAGAAATTCACTTTAGTGTTATAGTCAAAAAGACTTATTGGGAATAATATCAAAAATATATTGCTTTATCTTCTTAGTTATCATATTGGAATAACACTATACCAGTGCTCTATAGCAGTGTTGAGCAAAATAAGATTGTGCTTTTGGGTTAAAAACCGTGTGCTTTTGGTCCTTGAAAGTTACTTTTCTCTGGTGCCTTATCAGTACTCAATTCTGTTGAAGTTTTCATATCATTTCTGTAAAATTCCTACATAACTGACACTTGACTTTATGTTATTATTTCATTCTCATTTTCATTCATCTTAGCATATGTAACACTTATCTGTTTTTTTAGGTTTTGTTTCTGTTTCATCACTCTTATTAACCTATGTACTGTTTCAGAAGAGTTGTGATAAACCTCAAAGCGCAGCAATCATGAGACTCCCTTCCTCATCCAAGATATTCTTCATACTTCTTGGGTGAAAGGTGATTTAAACTCTAATTGTGGGATTTGATATAGTTCATAGAGTTCTGTTCTGAACTTTATCTACCCTGCTCTGACAGATTTGTAACAAATTCAACAGAGTTCCCCTTTCTTACACTGGGAAAATGTAGTATTTTTCCCAAGTGAAAAATGATTGACCTGAAGGACAAAAAAAATTGAAAAAGGTGGAATTCTGCATTCATTCTGCATGTGCATTAACACTGCATTTTTCTGCATTGATTCTGCATTTTTTTTCATTAATGGTGCATTAATGGTGCATTTTTATGCATTAACATAGCATTTTTAATTATTTTTGACATTAATTCTAATCATTTTGCATAGCCGAAAAATACTACATCTGTGCAGTGTTATTGTCTTGTTTTAGGAGGGCAGTCCATAGACATGTTCTACTAGTCATTTGTTGGTAGGTTATCCCCTTCACTCTCTGTATAACCCTTTTTGGGTTAGAAGTTCTACATCATAGAGTGCAGAAATAATGTCAATGAGGTGGAAATTAAAAGCAACAAAAACCATGTGCATAGAACAATAACTAGACAGGCACATCTGATTAGTGACACAAATGTGTGCTTTTTGTTAAGTCTGTGACTTTGCTTGGCTTTTAAATCCACTGGCATCTGCAAGATGAACTCAGCTTTTGAATATCAGAAAAAAAACATAAAGCATCTAAATACATGTGATAAATTGCTATTTTTAACTCTTTCACTTTAGTAGGAGCCAATAAAGCGGGGATGTCCTTTTGGATAATGAGATGTGAAAAGCCCACACGGCAGTGAAACTCCATGGAAAATTCTGTGTGATTGGCCGTCAACCAATGTACAGAAATCAATTGATCACAGAAATGGCCTTCCAATTGGAGATAGAAAGTCATGAAAAGCAATAAGACTTGATACTATATAATGGTGCTTGCACAAAAGGGTTAAAGACCAGGAAGGTGAAGAGATAACCAAAGTACACAGAACTTGCCAGTTGGGTAAGTTTCCTGAGGTACCAAGAACTGACCACTTGGGTACCTTTCATCTTTTAGTTCAAGACCCTTCCTAATGTAGAGCAGGACAAAATTAGAGAACTAGTTGTTAGTTCTAATCTACCAAAACAATAAGAAAATGTGATGAGAGAAAAGACAACAAGTTTCAGGAAAACAATAGAGCTTTTATACAAAACACATTTGTTGTGGTGGTTACAAATGACAAATTATGAAAAGAAGAAACCTAGTTTAGATCACAATATTCCTAACTCTTCTAACCTGTCTGTACCAATCAAGGGTGAGAAAAAGGCTAAGTGGCTAGTCCTCTACAATGCCAAGTCAGTCTGGGCCTTAACAGCTAAGAGGTATTCAGGGGCCTGTAAAAATTGTGTAGCAAATATACATGAGACTTTGGATCCAACACACAGTATCAGCATCTTAAAAAAAACTCAATGTAGGGCTTCTGGATCAGCTGTGCACATGCAAATTATTCAAAGATTTGAGGATTTCTTGGGTCAGATTTAAAGGCTGTGACATATAAGCACAGCTGTGGACACTCTAAACCCCCAGTAACAGGAAATGCCAACCTATTTTTCAAGTTTTAAGTGTACTCCTCAAGAGGTAGTGCCAAAGGTAGACTTGCTGAAGGTGGAGTTAAACAAGACTTCCTTCAAATGACAAGAGATCCATATGATTTTCACAGTGACAATATTCAATTTGAGTCCACATCTTGATGATTTAAAAAAGAGAGGACAACAAATGGAAAACCAAGAACCTTCAAAACAAGTCAAGACTGGAACACATCCAACAAAAAAGATCATCAATTCCACCTGTCACAAGGAAAAGCACATCGTATCTTGTGTACAGTGATTCAAGAGAAGAGAAAAATAAAAATTGTTTATTTCCCTAGCTTTGAAATGACAAGAGCAAAAGGATCTTGAGAGACATTCAAATTTCTGAGTGGAACTCAGCCTGAGAATGTGTCAAGGCTTGCAAGCTGTTGTTTATACTCAGATACCTCAGCACTGAGGAGGAAACTTTCCAACCTGGAGGTATTTTTGGGTGGGAAGCAACTAATGAATGAAGATAGTTTTACTGGGATTATATTTGGGTATTGGGACTCAAACCCAGTCCTCATATATTTGTGGTTACATTCTTGAGTTTGAGACCAGTCTCCTGAGAGTATAGCTCTCTACAATCTTGAGGATATGATTATCCTCAAGATGATGTGTTGAGAATATATTTGCCCAAAACATATCTTACACAATGTCAGATAACGGTTTTTTGTGGTAGCAGTAAGGCATGGACCCGGCCTCAGGACACCTGGAACAGTCCTGGTCCGGGCCCGGGCTCAAGCTTTAACAGCCCATTTGAAATGCTCTTGGGCCCCAGAGTAGTGTGCTCACGGGCCAGCTAAAAGGGCACAACCAAAGGGGCCCAAGGGATTATGGGGATGGGAAGCGATCTTGAGATGCTTAGAAAGATGGCAGGAGTACTGACTAAGGCAGAAAAGGGGGTTTTGAAGGATATCATGGCAGATATGATCCTCTAAACTCATGATTTTGCCCAATGCTGGGCCACGCAGCCAATTTTTTTGTATCACCGGGCCGGGCCGGGCTGGCCCAAGCAAAATAGGGGCCCAAAACAGCTCAATTTCTGAAAGCCGAGTTGGGCCGGGTCCAAGCCTTAGGTAGCAGCAGAGGCCATTTGTCTCCAGTTGGTTCTGTGGAACCAATTGGCTTCTCAGAACCCAGTAGACTCCTTTGGCTGGCCTCTCAGCATTGGGTCTTTAGGCAGGTCAATCTGTCTGGCCTGGTTTGGTTGGGAACACAAGAAAGCTCTTGATTACAAGAGTATACAGGGTGGGATGGTGCATTTTTAATTTGATTCAGACATAACCTTGTTGGGATGTGCATATGAGGAATTGGCTGAGTCTGATTGGTGGGTGAGGATTGGAAATCTTTGTGGTAAAGTTTCATAGACACTGTACCAGATTTCCTGCAGGGGGGTATTTGCAAAGTCTCTGAAGATTCTCACTTACCTGCCTGCCAAGTCCCCATGGGCTTTGAAACCAACTGTGCCTTGTCAGTTCCATCAAAGATGAAAGAGAATGACCTATCAATTGTATATTGTAGTATTATAGATCAGGTCTATGAAACACCATGTCTGCATCCTTGTAGCATGTTTACGTGCACACACAAAGGACTTTTCTTAGACCCTCAAAAAGTCCTTCAAATAGGTTCCACAACAGGTGCATATTCCCCTTATCAAATGGGACATTCTGGGACCTTGACACTCAGTTGACCCCAGCTGCTGACAGAGGATTCTGCATGTCCTATAACTGAATCATTATTCACACTGGGTGCTCAACAACAATCCCAGGCTAAATCCAACCAAAAGACTGATTTTTTTCAAAACTCTCCATGTGTGCACCTCAACAGGCTAACAAGATATTGACATGGTGAAAGACATGCTAAGGAAATTGTATTCTATCTATGACTTGAAGTCAGCAGGTCAAATGTTTGTTTCAGCTGTTCATGATCAATCAACTTTGTTGGTGGGGATTTGTCCAAGAAAGTATTTTTCTGGATCAACTAAAACATATGATGATTCCATTTAACATCTGAGAAATACATACATACAACTGTAATTGTTATGGATTGAAGAATGTCTATTTGATAAATTTAAATGCAACTTTTTTCACTAAATGGTTGTGAAGAGACTTTCCAAAACAAATGTAAAGAAGGAAGGAAGAAGAGAAAGAAAAATGACAATGTTGTGATGTACAAGGTTTGGGAAAGAAGAAGTCCGCGCCACACAGCTTCAAAGCATAAAAGAAGAAAGCTACAAACACAAGCCACTTATTCAAAGTCAAGTGCTAATTAACACGGTTACCTGCGTAAAGAGGGCGTCATTTTGGAAACAGTGCCTTAGTGGGAGTGACGAGTGGTACTCACGGCAAATTCGACGCCTCGAAAATGGCAAAGGATCAGATAATCATATTTGCATCGAACCTCCAGCGGATTGCATCGTCGGTCTAGCAGAAAGTGCGGCATTAGCCTGCGAACGAGCTTTGCGCTGCAGGTCGTTCGCGTCTGAGGAGATGATTAATCAGGGAGATGATCAGGAATGCGGCGGTTTACTTAATTACGACAAAAGGTGGCTCACGAGGAAAGGGTTCCGGTAATCCAGCTAAAGGCCCGCTTGAGTGATAGACCTTAGGTCGAAAGGATTCTTCTTCTTCCATAATCGCGCTGAAATAAGACATCTAAAGTGAGTATGGCACGTAATAGCTATTATGTGGCGCATTCAACTAACCTATTTCGGACTGTTACAAGAAGGTTGAAGGTAAGCATATCAAATATCTAATCACAGAATGAGAACTTGAAACGGGAGACTTACACTTCTCAATAAGGTTCTCTTTACCTTGTATAGAGGCATAGCACATCTGCACGGTTTTTTCGGACACTGGATACAATGGATGTTGGATATAATGGATGCTAAGTTTGATGACAGTCAGACTAAGAGATCGTGGGCGAAATCCCACTTACAAAAGACGCCCCACTTCACGCCAAGCTTTGATTTGGCAAACTTCAAGACGTTCTCCACACTCAAGAAGTTGATAAAAGCATAGCCCACATTCAGGCGCGCTTTGAAATCCATTCTGAGGTACAGGAAATCAAATCCTCGGGGACAAATTTCATTGATGAAGTTGAACAACATTTCATCCGTGATTTTGTTCGGGATGTTCTACCAATCAGAAAGCTTTCGTCAAGTTCAAGATTCATGTCACGAAGAATGAACCATTCATACTTTGATCATACAGGTAGTGCGTGGATCACTTCCACATTCGATTCGATCTAAGTCGATGACGTTACTGGGCGGAACACCTGGAAAAGGAAAAGCCCGAGGTCGATGGGTAGCAGCCACCATGTGTTGATGCTTCTGTAAGTCTATATGTTGGAGGCTGGGTGGCGGGCGATCATGAGGATGACCCATTGGTGCCGAAAACGGAATGGCCTCTGCAATGTTTGAATTGGGGGGCTGATGATAGATAGGAGAGCTTGCAGGACCTGGAACCTGATGATCCAATGAAGTGAGAAAGATTAGTCTCCCAGCAAATGATCAATAAAGGACAAAGTTGAGGTGCACCCGCGCATTCCAAGGAAAGACATAATTGCCAGCGTAGGGGTCGGCCATATAGCGATACAACAACCCGTTGTTATACGGTTCCGGTGCGCTGATCATGGTTGGCGGTGGACGTATGGTAGGGGGAAGCATACAGACTCTGGGATTCATGGGTGGGTTGATTGGCACAGGCTGATCGTTTGGAGGAATGTTATTGACAATTGCTACGGCGAAAAAACACGTCAATCTACTAAACCAAATCGAAATCCACAGGATCCCTTACCAGTGTTTGGAGTCGAGTACATGCGACCACCGACTACGTGTGGCACATCTACAGACACTTGAAAATCCTGTGAAGAACGGCATTTTGTCAGTATTTAATTCACAGGGTCTGATAGCTAGCAGTATGAAGTGCTCACGGCAAAATCGCGAGCTACCAGTTGTTTTTGGGCAGCTGTTGCGCGACGATCGTCGAACCATTCAACGTGCCATTGATTGTATCCCACGTGCTTCAAAACTTTCAGATCACCATATCTGCACAAGTACTCAGTTAACACATCATGAGTGATGATACCACGAGGATCTGTGTCAAAGATAAGTTCACATCAGGTAGTCTCCCAAATAATACACCGGAGCAAAGGGCCCATACCATCAAAATGAAGCATGAGGGTTGCTTCATTTGCCGATAGGATAGGATTGTCGAGGTCTTGAGCCAGCTGAATGACTTCAGGACGGGATATCGGCTCAAACTTTAGATAGGAGCCAAACACAACCTGAAGGAAAGATTCGGTAGCTCAGTGCACAATGTTTTGACAGCATGTAAAATGATACTCACGCCTAACTCTTGTGGGCCTTGTTCCATCATGTTGGAAATCGAACGTATATCATGAAATCCTACAAGAATGAAACCCAGAGGACTGAGCGTATCCACGTAGATGTCTAACAGATCACCGTATCTCTGGAAGAGTATAATGCGATCAGCCTCAAGAAAATTGTCGCTCGAGTCAAAACACATTCAAACTCACCGCAAAAGCATTTCGGACCTTCACAATACCCTTCATGCTACCCAGTAGTTTGGGAGAAAGTCCCAAAATCTTGCAGTATCTAGTCATGAAGGAGGCTTGTGTTCCCCAGGAAGGTAGTCGAGAAAGAAGTACGGTGTCAGATGACCTTCGTTCGAATGAGACGCGAGAAAGATCTGGATTGATTGATGGCGTGAAGATCATCGAATCAACCTCCTCGGTAGAAGATGAAGATCGAGCAGAATCTGGGTTCATTCCACTAGGTGAAGAGCGATCATCCATCCGGGGACTCTCACCCTCCACCCCTTCGTCAATCTCTTCGTCGTTCCAGCGCAAGCTCAACAAGCTTCTTTTCAACATTCTACGATTTCCAACTCCAGCCATGGTACTAGAGCGAGGGCGGAGCCTGGACTGTGCATATTTAGATGGCGGATCATACTGGAAATTACCAAGGTTCGACAATCCAGACCCGTCTGTTCTTACTTCAAAGGCCGAGTAACCTTCAGGTACACATGAAGCAAAGGCAGGATTCTCTGGATTGCCGTCAGCGGGGGCCGTATGATAGCGTTGCCTGCGTTCAGTAGCTCGATGTTGGTCCGAACCAGTAGATGGAGAAGATTCGCCGTTATTTGACTTATGTGGCGGAGAGTGGCCCGCTCTTTGTGAGTGAGGAGAAAGATCGATACCCTGGTCTAGCTTTCCTATTCCATAGATTGGATAGGATGCGGGGGGGTGCGAAAAAGCGAGAGCCGACGGTAAACTGCTGGCAAAGATACTGGACGAAGATGCTGAAAAGATAGGCGCGCCTGTTCCCTGCCCGGCGCGTTTAACTGATCCAGGGAGGTTTGAGCCGTCATTGCGAGATTGGAAATGAGAAACGGAGACGCGTCGAGGGGGATTATTCTCCAAACCGGAATTCGGGATGGGGCCAGCGGTAGAGCCGCTGAGGGTTTCAGAGCGTCTGCGATGTTCTGAGACCTCGTTGACAGGCGAAGACTCTTGTTCCCCATGGCGAGGGGTTATGCCAGATGCAGGTGATTTTCGTTGAGGAGTAGACATACCGTGATTGGAGTCAAAACCTGGACCAGTCGGGTTTGAAGCAGACCGGCGGCGACTATTTTCAGATAGAGCCAATTGCTTAAGTTGATTTGCTAGGGTCATTCCCGAATTCACCTTTCCTGGAACCCCTCCCGGATGAGGAGATGCTCTCGTAGGAGAAATGGAGTCGGAATCAGACGAAAATTCAACAGGCGGGCCACGAGAGCCAGCGAAAGGCCGAGTGTGTTGTTTTGGAACAGTATCAGGAGGTGTGAGGAGTGAAGTTTGACGAATTAGCTTCTCCACAGGTGATTGTATGTTGACCGGAGTTCTGACAGAGCTGGGGTCGTCTGATTTCTTGAGTGGGGTGAAGGGTGGAGTCAAAAGACCACTTCTGAGCGCCGCCACATCTACAGAAGAGGTTCGCCGACGAAAACGTAAAGACGATGCCAAATCTCCTTCAAGCGCCTCCGCTAAAGACGCCGTGGAGGGAGGGAGCCACTTTGACATCTGGTGCGTAGTAGGTCCAACGGTGGCGCGTTTCTTGAAGCTAGAAGCCGGATGGTGAGTTTGGAGGGACGCCGGGAGCCCAGTGTGCGTAATTGACCCGTTGTTGGGGGTATCAGAAAAATGTACCTTCGCACTAGGTGAAGCGCCACGAGGACTCTCAGCATTCAGCGTATCAGAGCGTGAAGTGTCATAGGGTGATCCAGGTCGCAAGAAATCGTTCCGCAATGAGATAGACGAGCGTCGCGGGCGAGGAAGCCGAGCGTAAGGATCGTCCATTACGTAAAGGTCACCAGTGTCATCGGTAGGCGAATTGACCGGAGAGCTTTTCTTTGAGGGCTGATTTTCTTGATAACAAGGCTGCAAGAGACCTGGAGGTGACTGTGCAAGTTGAAAGAACCAAATTTCGTCAAAGGCTGATTTCATCTCTTGAGCTGAAAGACAAGAGCAATATAAAAAAGAATTTCTTACTCGTTCATTGGCAGGGCTAGCGGATGCGCTAGAGTGTTTATGTCCGTGGGGTACAGCAGCAGGGTCCGACTGGATTGAGGCGGGAGTGCTCGGATTTGTCGTAGTTGATTGATGAGCAAGGGATGGTGAAGAAAGAGGAGTAGGGGTACCAGTTCCTCCTGGTTTGGGAATATAGAAGGTATTTACCAAAAGACGAGCGGATTTAGCGACTGGGTTGCTTCGCATCACCGTTTCTGTCGAGGACAAACGAGGCAAGGGTGGGGCAGTTGACTGCAAGGCGCGTTAAGTCGGTAAGAATTCACGGTCAAGATAAAAGGTTTGGTAAAGAAGCAAAAGTCAATCGTCAAATCCCTCTCAAAGATCCACATTAAACTCGATCGTCAAATGGATTCATGTTCGGACGTCGGAGAGCCGTGGACTCCACAGGCCCCTTTACATGATTTATGCCATACGTCGGTCAAGAAGGGCTCGTCTCAAGCAACATATCAAACGTCTTGAGTCTAACCTCTATTCAAATACGAAACCTTCATTCGGAAACCAATGAAAAAAAAACAAGAAGACCAAGAGATAAGCAAAACAAACCTCGTTTTGTACCTTTTGTTCCTGGGCGGCCATTGAGAAAAAATGAAGGGTTCAAATAAGATCAAGCCCGTCGTCAAGAATGCAGCGTAGTCAAATAAAGAAATCGGACCAAGTTTGAGCTATCGTAAGAGCTGGGAGATCCACTAAAGTACGGTACCGTGATGTGAACAATGTGAGACAAGATAATCAGAGCTACAGGCGGAGTGAAGAGCTCTAGGACTGCCAAGATGACAATCGTGAGTTTCGAGAAACTAGGCTGATCAGAGAAGAAGCGTGAGTTAAATCGAGGTTCTTGCGGGAAAATCAGTCAAAGTTAAAAGAAAAAAGGACAGCCAAAATTGGGAGGTAGTGATAGATGATAGATTGATCAAGGAAAGAACAAGGGTGTGTGATGACTGATTCGAGCGGACAGGAACAAATCAACCGATCGTCAACCGGGACGCAAGGAGATGAGTCAAGACGAGCTAGCAAAAAGAAGTTCAAGACGCTTTTGACAGAGGCTAAAGTTGATGATGATGATGATGATGATGATGATGATGATGATGATGATGATTGGGCTGATGATGAGGATGATGAGGATGATAACCGAGCTGACTGAGCAAATAATGAAAGAGAGAGCGACCCTTGGATGATGATGACTTCAAAGCGCGTTTTATGAAGCTCTTCACCGCGTATGAAGTGTCTCTTCTGAACATCAAATTTTCAAGAGGTCACCCACGCAAGTCCTTCATTATACCCATCTGGGTCTCAGCTGATGTTAAACTGAATCGTCTTCGTCTATCACTCCACCGATTTGAAATCCAACATTACTACAAAAGTTCCTGAATTTTTGTTTTTGCTCAAGTCTTTTAGGATTAGCATCCTCTGCGCATTCGATTATATCTTACATCACCAATCCAACCGATTCTCCGGTTAGGCTCCACAATTCTACCCACTTTTCCAAGCTTGACTACGTCTAGCGATCAGGTGAAGACTATTGAGCTCATGTCCAGAGATCACCAAGCCAGAGCTGAAGCCTTGCGTCAGTGTGAGGCTTATGTCCGTTTCTTTCCGGAAGTAGGGCATACCCTTGATTCGAATTGACGCTTGACCCAATCTATGCTCTTCTCGTCAGCTTTTCATCATCTGTGCTCGGATCAATGTCCTGCGTCTTGATATGACTCACTTTTTCAGGTTTAGTGACCCAAGATTGGTCTCACCAACAACGATTCTGCAGAAAATAGCTGTTTAAGACCGAGCTCGGGCCCTGTTCTAGGTCCTAGAAGAGGTAAGCACTCAGATGCTCTTCTAAGATCATTTTTCAAGCTTTCGGGTCAACAACACCAAGCGAGCGGAGTCAAATCTGATCGAGCTTCTCTCTTTACCAGTATTTCAACCCATACCGTTGACCCTTGGCTTATGCTTCTTAATCTAAAGATGAAAGGAAGTTAAGGCGATAGCTGCTCACTCACAGCATGTGCGATGCAATCATAATGCGCATCCGCGCAATGTTTGCCAGGCATTGAGTGTATCTCCTCAAATTGTCCGTATGAGGACAGTTCAGAGGAGGTCAAGACTTTCGAAGCGCAACCCTAGTGAATAAATATTTCAAAGACAACTCTGATGGGCTCAGAGCCACAATCTGAGTGCACAGTCAAGATTGGGCAGCCCGCGGATGTTTATGAAGTCGCTATGCAGCGTGTTCATGAATACCCCTTGGAAATATCTATCATCCGC